GTTTCTAAGGTACTACAACACTAATTTTTAACATTAATTTGATCTTTGTTATTGTTGGTTTACTAAAATACCCTGGCAACATGGTAAAACTATGCTACTCGATTGTTTTCTCTAAGAAAAATGTATGAATCAAACTTATATTATTGTTAATAAGTAACCATGGCAACGAAAATCTTACCAAAAATCAGTTGGAAAGACAAAAACATATCCAATCCAAAAATACTTTTATGTTGAAAAAAATAGTATATCTAGCTCAATATTATTTTTCATGTAAAAAAAAAAAAATGGATGTTTTTGATTTTAACTTTCAGAAAGAAATTATTTCGTGGTGTAACTTACTAAGTGCTGAAAAACGATATTTGTTTTTATCGTGTGACACAACCCGAGGAGATTTTTTGTATCAAATCAAGAAATGTTTAATAAAAATATTTTATTTTATTTTTATAAAATAAATATTAATATTAAAATATATTTAGTGTAATCAGTAATAAAGGCGTCAATAAAATGGTATTCGAGATAATAAAGATAATCTTACACCGTGATTAACATAATAAAAATAGCCTTAGACAGCTGTCGAGACTCGAAATACCTAACTAACAAGTAATGATGGTGGTGGGGTGGTGAACTGAATTCTTCCAATTTTTGAAACTAATAAGCTCTTTCAATATGAACTTGATGAACTTTCTAATATGAAATTTAAAAACATTGTCTATCATTTTATTTTTATTTTCATAAAACGTGACATAGCTCAAATAAGAATTTTATTTTTTTGCTAGCTTTTTCTGAAGCAAATGTTTGCATYATATTGTTTAAATTTAGAAGCTATAAATGTTTAATTTAATATTTTTATTTATAACAAGGATTATAGGTATTTTCTTTTACCCTCATGATTTAAAATCTAAAAATACAATATTWGTAATTTATGTTGAAAAATATGTAGTCCATAAAAAAATCCCAAGTTTTGTGGCCCGTTAGGGGTTGCTTAAACCGGGTTTGTATATGGTTATAAATTACAGTTGCTATGGCAATCTAATAATAATTAATGTTATAACTTATAACGTTATAGTTTAGCGTTACCTATACCTCACCCTTAGCAACTAACGATTAATTATATGATTAAGTTACCATATTAATAATAAGGTTGATATATTTATTTTAAATCATACGCCACGGCTGAGGAGATAATATTAAGACTAAGAATACGAGCATTTACTATGAATAAGCTTAATTAAGTTCCACATTTCTACAGAACTTTTGTCATAGAAAACAACTAAAAGAATTAATAATTTATTTAGATATATTTTCGGATTTTTCAACATTCTCGACAATTTTTATTTTTTACTAACATCTGACGAATATATTTAAAAAATATGTGCTCACTGCAAAGAAGTTAACGTACAGTTGAATCACACTATACGCATCATCTCAGGAACTATAAAATCTCCACGAACGGAATCGTTACCACCGTTTTCAGTCCTATCCAGCCCCTCCTGACCTTTCAGAGGCTATCTCACACTAAAAATACAATTTTAAAACAAAACACTTTTCAAAACTTGGCCCTACACAAGTTTATCTGAGAACACCGCCCACCCTCCTCCTGATAAGGTTAAGGTCAATGTATCCTATCTGACGTACAAATGCACCCGAAAAGTTTATAAATGAGCTATGAAAATAAATAATTTTAAAAATGTTAATTTACGTCGTTTAGATTGTCTTCCGTCAACTCCACTTCTTTAGCGTCAATAACAATAAGTTCCTCGTATTTAGTAGCACACGAGTTGGCCACCTCGCAYACCCTTTTTTCTATCATCACGGATTCAGAAGATTTATCGAGTTGTTCGGCGTCATCTTCAATTTTTTTTTCCACCATAATGTACTTGACCGTGTGAGGGAAAAACATCACACATGTTTGCATTTGAATGTTGACAGAAAATTGTTTCAAAGAATATTCTCTCTTTTTCATCATTCTATAATCTTAAATTATTAATAATTAAATTGATTCATAACGATATTACATAAAAAAAACTACTTTATTGTAATATATATATATATAT